TGAGCAAGACCGCATGGCTGTGGCTGTAAGCAAACTCGAGTCATCCAGGCAGGCCGACCTCGTCGAACTTCTCATGAGTCTTCCTAAGCGCGAGCGTGCCCTGTGTCTGTTCAACACTGATGTTCTGCGAGCAAAGATAGCAGACGCAAAAATGGTCCTGGATAGTGATGATGGAGATGAGGGACAACAGAAGCCGGATACTCAGTCTATCCAATCTGCTCCTGCACAGCCCATCCCAGTGACGCCTCAGGCGAAGAAGATCAGTGCAACCGTCGAGAACTCTCCCAAGACTCCCGCATTGTCATCCAAGGGCCCATCTGCCGCGTCGTCTCCCGTACCAGTCACACCCGGCGGATCATCTTCGTCACATACAATCGCATCTCTAGCTCGTTTACCCGCTGCCGAGATCATTAAGCTCGCAAATTCATCGTCAGCAACCGGCCTCCCTCTGCCGAAAGTAGACCCGTTAGTCGTCAAGAGTACAGATGAGTTTATCGACAGCCTTATGGATAAGCCAATACAGGCACAGAAGCAACAGCTCGGCGATAAGTTGTACGTCGGTGGTAGCATTTTCAGCTTTACGGAAATCTAACTTTGTGATGCATTCAGGTATCGAGCTATCAAGGCGTTTGGTATTAAAGGCGCAGTAAGTTTGGGTTCTATCGGTGCTGCTCGTGTGACTGAACGCTTCTTCATTCAGCCTAAACTTACCATCGGCTTGCTTGATCAAGACGATCTCCGGGCTTTGGCTCATCTCATGAATAGCTACCCTTCTGTTCTCAAAGAAAAGGCTCTCATCCTTCAGGGTGGCGGCAAGTAACAGTCATTTGCTTGATCTCTAGCACATTAGCTTCCACTCTCATCTTCATTCCAAATTTCCATATTTGCATCTGCACTATACCGTGCACTACACACTTCTAGGAATACATTCGGATCAATCACACTTTCCATCATTACCGTGTGCTTCACTTTCACTGTCCAGATCTTTTTGTTTACGATTATTCTAGCCATCCGATACGCTTTTGTTACCTGACACCACATTCTTCTCGCGTTTGTGACTTGGATTTACGAATTTACGAACCTTATTCGCCCCCTATACGCTTGATGTTTGCTTCGCATTATCGTCGGCCTCAAAATTAAAATTCTCCACACTCCTCAATGTTACGTGTTGCGCCTCACTACTGAATATTCAGTTTGTTGCAGACCATGATATATGAATAGAATCAATATTGAACTTTTCGAGTGCGTACCGGTGACTAGCCTGTCTTAATAGAAATGCGAACGTTATATATCAAAGATCTATACCTCTTTGGATGTCTCGTTGCTCATTACGGTCCCAGCGGTGGAAGAGCACAATCATGGGGATTTCAGGGGATTGCATGATCCGACTTGCGATCAATATCAAGGTACGCAGCGCAGTGATTATGTAGGAGAGCGCCTAGCCTGGAACTTGAAGACCAACAGCCGCGTCTTAGTGAAAGAGAATTTTGCTAATCAGTTAATCCTCGTCTGAAAGAAAAAGAATTCGGCTAAAGACTTGCCTGTACTCATACTGATCGGTGGGCGGGTATACACTAAGTGCGAACCCAAGATGCTCTCTCCCTGTCCGATTGCTCCGCACAATAAAATTTTGGCAGCTCTTTCAATCAAAGCCCAGAATATTGTGAGTACTGATTTCGAAACGTCGTATTTAAATTTAAAATGAATGAGTGGCATGCTTATACCAAGCCATCCTGAGCCTGGCAGAATAAATACCATGGTAGTCGCGCGCAACACAGTGACGGATGCGCTGACTATAAGGATAACACAATAGCAACCTTTTGTTGACAAGAGCATGAGTGATTTATTCTCACTAGGGGCTGGCTCACGTACACATAGCACAATGGCGGAGACGGCGCAGACAGCGAAAACGAACAGCCTCGTGTTTTGCGGTATATGATACTTCTCCGATGCATGTACCATTAAGACAAGAACAACTGTGATCACTATATATGGCCCGACCATGAAGGTTGAACATAGATTCCAAGCGATCGCAAAGCATCCTAGCCAATATAAGGGGTTGAAGGACTTCGATAATACCGGGATTGGGACAATCTCTCGCGTTGTGATCAATTTTCCTTCTTCAGCAAGTGCATGTTGACTCACAAATGTGATATAAAAACGGCAGAATTGGGTATATCGGATTGAACGCCTGTCGGGTCTCCTTTAAGCGCGTCCCGTGCTAGACCCACCAGTCGACACGGGTAGATCCAAGTCTTATCCTTGTGTCAGTGACGTTTGCTTCTCGAGCAGCTCGTGCAAAAGTTCTCGGATGTGCATGCGAGGAGATATGGCGAACAAGTCAGCGGTAAGATCTTCCGATCGAGGTCACGAAGCAGCTTCTTCTCATCTTCTAGTGTTAGGACTTATTGATGCGGTGGTTTGAATTTTCTCTTAGTCACTCGATTTTTCTGACTTGATGGTGCCCATGTCATTGATGTTGGTAGTAACGAGTGGACATGAAGTGATTGGGGAAACGATACAAATTATTGTCAGAAGGACTTGAAAAAGTGAGAAGTAAGATCCTAACGAATCGAATAAGAAGCAGTACTTAACAGTATAATAGTATTTGGACCGATCATTGGGTATACGATTACTTATCTGCTACGGAACGTATCGGAATCCAGGAGCCTATTGACTGGTCAGAACAAACATTTTTCATTTCAATTCAACAACTTGCCTTGTCTGCGAGCTCCGATGTATCTACCATATCATCTGGATCTGGCTTGCCATACTGCTGATCTCGCTGCATATTGTCCAAACGGAAGGAAACCTTTTTAGAACATGAGAGTGATGAATTCAGGTGATCACAAAAGGAGATCTGGGCTTACACTCAACAAGAGTGCGCATAGCGCAGCCAAAAAGAGCAGAAACGCAGAAACTGATGTCAGTTCGTCAACGTGGTAGGAAGTTGCAGTATGACTGTCACGTTACCGGTAAATCCACTCCTAAAATGCCATGAGTTAGGTGAGGTATAAAAAGACAGAAGGACAAACGTGTAAGCGGGACCCTCAGTCAACGGGTAGAGATGGGATCCCAAGATGCCTCCGATTTGCCCAATAGCACCGTAGAGGGGAATCCCAGCGGCTCTCTTTGTTTCAGAGCCAAGATTATGGCTATCTGTTGAGTAGAAAAATTAATTGAACAGTAGATATATATAGAAAACCAAAGTACACCAAGCGTTCACCAAGCCGATGCTCGAATAGGTTCCGCTAGTGATGAGAAACGTTGCGCCATAGCGCACATCTTGCCGATGAGTAGCGCCAAGCATTATCCTAGAGCAGAGATTAATATTTGCATCCTGTCCATGAATAACAACCTCGTTCACATGTAACCAAGACCACCAATTGTGCTGGTACAGACAAGTAAGGGTCCCCTAATCTGTAGCCTGTCGGATGCGTAGGACGTGACCATGAGCACGAAACCGGCTACAGCATATGGCGGCACTGTCATTAGTTGAGCCATCGCATTTTCTGATGTAGATTTGAGTCAAAAGATGGCTTGATGTCAGAAATAATGGTCTTACCATGCCCCATGGTGCCAATGATAGTTGGCAAGAAGGCCGACAACGATGCTAAGGCACAGTTGAGCCCGAAGTAAATTACCCCACCTACGTAGATCTACGGTTCATATCAGATACCGGGCCATAGAAAGGCAGACGGAAGGCTTGCCCTCCAGTCCTGGAAAGCCGCAATGACATGACCTGTTCATGAGTCAGAACCTTATACTTGCATGAATTTTTCATGAGCATTACTTCGACGGACAACTGCACCAAAATCACCACTTGTCCCTCTGTTCATACGGCTAATCGCGATCTTACGTTCCGCCGCAGTAAGAAACTGCGTGGACTCTGGACGGTCTGGAAGTAAGGATAGACAAAGTAAACCTAGGAGTATTGTCGGTGTGCCCTGGAAGTCATATTATCAGTGCATGACTTACATTCCATCTGTCCAACATACCTCAAGCAGAAAAAGTAACCTCCAGTTCGCAATCGACACCTTGACATGTTGGATCCCGTACGCGATGAGCCCCCCAAATGCCCCTGCGACGGCTGCAAACCCAAACCAGTATGCGATGCGAGTACCGCACTCGGCCTTGGTATAGTAGAAAGCTATTAAAAACGTCAAATCCAGTAGGTACTGAAATTTCCACAACCATAACTCACAAAAGTATAATACAACAGCACCTCCAAAGGCTGCTTCAAAAGTTCCTAGACCAAGTCGAGCAATCATCAGGCCAGTAAAAGTATGCGCGGTTGCCTGGGTATGTCACATGTTATGAGAACGAAGGAAACATGGATTATACGGTTCTCAGACCATTGATGTGGAAGATATTCCCCAGAGGATAGCAGAGCAGCCAATCCAAATGCGTGGATTGTAATACTTCGAGAGGACCGTGAACGGAATTTGTAAAAGTATCTGCGAGTCGCATTGTCCGATAGTGGTTGGCACGCGACCGAAAATCCAAAAGAATTGGAAGCTCACATAGGTGAAAAAGAAGGCGGAATTAACCCAGTCAAATAGTACACCAGTGGGATCTCCACCGAGAACATCTCCGGGCAAACCCTGTAATCGAGCATTGCCCAGGTTCGACCGATCGAGGTCTGCCGAGTTCAAGGATCAGATCAGTTGATTGGTTCCCTGCCAAAATCAAGGAGATCGAACTCACAAGCAAATAAATAAAGAAGGCATAGTATTGGCAGGATCCTCTTATCCAATTTCCTCAAGAGCCTCCGCTCTTGAGCTTCCGAGTCCTCATCCAGCGGAATAAGCAGATCTATTTCGCTAACGCCTTCTATGCCATGATCTTGTGTTCTGTCGCAGTGTTCATAATCATGATGATCAAGGTCCATTCTACCAGATTCGTGATGAGAAGATAGAGAAAGAAATAGGAAGAGCTATTAGTATGGACCTCAGACTGGCAAGGTCCTCAGAAACCCGGAAGCCCTATAAAGCCGTAATGATAGTCCCTGTTACATCCACAGAACTGACCGATTCGGTTCCGAATATGATCCGACCGAGTCCATATTTACCGGACCTCTCGCGTTGACCACTCAGGTCGACTAACGGCCCGTATTCCTGGTGTATCCATGCATCACGCGCTCGACCGATTTTTGGATTAGTACCAAGCATTGGCAAGATCACTGCCATATTACTAGTACTATAGTTGTCACCGCTGCAGGATGATGACCGGCATTAGTAAAGTTTCGATCGTTCCTCAAGCACGTATATGTACTAGGCTGGAAGACAACTCTAATGGCCAGTAAATAGCAAACAAATCTAGAACGGAAGTTTTGCATTCTTAGCGGTACGGGGAGGTTTGAGAGGGTGTGGACGTCGCCTCTTGTAATACTGAAACACCATGTCAAACATCGCAGTGAAAGTAATTGTAAAAACCATACCTGCTTAAACTCTTTAATACGCTTGGGCATACTGCGCATGAGTAACGCCCTCCGTTTCTCCCTCTTCTCTGCAGTGCGCTGCCACTTGTGCCCCTTGAACATTCGCTTCTTCCCTGCATACAATCTGTTCCCAACTTCCGCACCAAGAACTTTCTTCTCCTTTACTTCACCTGTCCATTCTATTGGGCGCGTCCACGGTGCGGCAGCGTTTTGGATGTGAGATTTCACTGAAGCCAAAGGCCCTGGAACGATGGCCTGCCCAGAAGCAGCAGCAGCAGCGATTTCTACTACCGAAATTTTAGGACCAGGAGGCAGAAGCGCGAGCGTGCCAGATTCGCGAGCTTTCTTGACAAGCAAAGCCTGTTGGCGCAGGGAGTACTTTGGCGGTGCCCATCTGCCTGTCTTTGAATTGAGCGTTGGGATGAATGGATTCTCTATGCTAGCAACTGGAACCTTGTGGCGCGACGAGGATGCTGAGCTAGGATGTGATTTGGTTTTAGCGAGAGCGGGACTCGGTAGAGCAGTAGCCCCGAGCTCTCGTATTCGAAACCGTTTGACGGCTTGCAGAGCAGACATTGAAAGTTAGATAGACCGGTCACCACCAGTCTAATTGGAAAGTGAACCGCAAAGGAAAACCCCAAGTAATTCGTCTTCCGCTTTCCAAAAATGGATGTACAGAATTTACATTAGCTAATCAATTTCGTCAACTTGGTGCTTGTCTATGCCGCTTTTTGTAGTACGATTCCAAGATTCAGTCACTCTTTTGAGAATACTCGTCATTCAAGCAGTTCTGGCAGGTACGTCCGATCAACCCAACATTCCACGCTTGCCCCAGAACTATCCCGATTCTTACTTAGAACCTTAACAGCGCCAATGGGCCCAAGGAGTCACTAACTCGGGCCGAGTACTAAGGCGGAGAACTCAAACCCCTGCGCAGATGCCCGAGTATGTACTGCGCTGAAATGGACCGAATTTAGCTGCATATCGCCCAGTAGTGACAGGCTGTAGCTGATGACAATGTCATGCGCCCAATGTTGTTGGGTTGGTGATTGTAAAAATAACTTGTGCCAGTAACGCCAGGCAGCCATCAGGTCAGGAAAATGTAGCTATTGAGCCACCTTACTACGTCCAAGACTCCGAATTCACCATGGTCCACGGCCGAGGACATGAATTTGAGAGATCGGCACACAGAAAAGGTTTGCACAAGTCAGGAGGACAGTATAGGAGATATGATAATCCTCTGGAGTAGGGGGCACATACACTATTGCGTTCAAGTCATGGCAATATTTATGACTCTATTGTCATATGATTATAGTCACCTTGCTTGCAAGGTCATATGCCATCTGACAAAATCTGACGGACTAACTGCCAATAATAAACAATAATAAATATCAAATAAATATCAATAAACGTTCTATGTCACTGTATGTTGTGACTTCGCCGATCCAGTGTCCAGTTTTTGAACCATGTCGCAACAGCTCAACTCTGCCCTGGAAAAATTAACAATGAAGGAGATTATAGTTGCAGTAGGTGACAATAACTTGAAAAGAGCTGAAAAACGCAAGCGCAGTGACTTAGTGGCTGCTGTGCAAGGTTCGACGGACACCCATATACCAATCATATCAGCAGCGAGCAACAAAGCAGCGCAATCTCACGATGCGCATCTATCTTTGCATGCGCCGTTTGAAAATGCGCTAAATCAGCTCACTGTCAATGAAATTATCTCTGCTGTTCAAGAATTCAAACTTTCACGCCTGGAGAAACGAAACCGAAACAGTCTATTGTCATCTATTCGACATTCTGTACTTCTTCAATCCGCAGTGGTGTCAGCCGCAGATGCAAAAGCTGCACGCTTACAAGATGATGAAGAACACCAGTTGAAAAAGGTGCGGTTGCAACAAGAACGGCAAATGTCTGCCGAACCATTATTCCTGGAGGAGGTGGGAGACTCTGTGCGGAATGAATGTCTATTGCGGTTCATCGATCGTACTGGAAATGCAGCCTGTCGGGCTACTATATGTGTTGTTTGCGCAGGCGAGTTTTTAGCATCTGAGACAACTGAATTTGCGTTGCCTTCGATCCAGCACAAAGAGGTACTGAAGCCATATATCTCGCATCACAGTCAACGACTCGTGAATGGCATGTTGCTATACAATCCAGCCATCACGATTCGAGATGATTGTCCATATGGATTTCTCTGCGATAATTGCTGGGACGATATCAAATCTAACAAAACTCCTTTGTTTTCCCTCGCTAATAATCTTTGGATCGGAGAAGTTCCGGATGAACTTGGGATGTTGACTCTTCCGGAGCGTATCTTAGTGGCCTTATCATATCCTGCAGCATACATCGTCAAGCTTTTTCCGAAAAAACGTGGCGCTGTTCATTGGGATGCAGCAGGTCTAAACAGCGGCTTGCGTGGAAATGTATCTACATACCGACTCAACACATCGTCCATTGCAGCTATGATTGAAGGCAAATTGCTGCCGCCTAAACCATCTATCTTGGCGACAACTATTGGCATTTCCATCGTCGGTCCCAATAACTTTCCGGAACGTTGCTTACCGCCTTTCTTATCTGTGAGCCGCTCTCATCTGCGCAATGCGCTGCTCTTCCTTAAGCGAGAAAATCTGTTGTATTCCAACATCACGATCTCGGAAGACAACATTGCGCTATATCCTACACATGGCATTCCGGATGTCATCATGTCCTCAATTCGACACCTCCAAGACACTGCTGCTGTGGATAGCGAACGAGAGGATTATGTACCAGAAGATGATGTCCAGGATGTATTCGCCGGTTCGTCTTTTCTTTTGAGATTCTACTTGCTCCTCTCAACGATAACATTTCGTCGACAGAACATGACAAAGCTTTTCCAAGTGGACAGCATGTCGACGAAGACTTGATCATTGATGAAAATGGTTAGTTTGGGACTGTTTAACAAAACTCATTACACAAGCTGACAAACGCAGTTCCATCCAACGTATTTCCAATCCAGTCGCATGGTGTACTTGATAGCAATGTATCAGAAGTCGATGATGATCAGATCTTAGCTCATGCGATAGCCAATATATCGGAACATTATTCTGTTCAGTGTGGCACAACTTTTGTCAATGAATATCCACGACGAGACATCAACCATACATTGAGTATCGGCGATCCTGATAATCCCAATCATCTACTTGGCGCCTTCCCATATCTATTTCCTTATGCAGGAGGTGGATTTGAAGTCCAAAGACCTCGCTCTGTATCATATGAAGCTCATGCTCAGTGGGCTATGCGTTACGCGGACCGTCGTTTTCGCAAGGACCTGCATTTTATGTTCCAAGTCTTTGGTGTCATACAGAAACGTCAAGTCTACAGACAAGCCGTACTTCAGGTGAAGATGTTTGTTGATGGATATATCACGCGCAATCTAATTCGGCTTTTTTTAAGGTCAAAAAGGATGACTTTCATAGGAACGAACATCTTTTTCGTTCTCTTACTGTTGCCGATCTGCAAAAAGCAAGTGAAGAAGAACGACAACACCGGACATGTTCAAATACTACTATACGAGGCTTGAAAAAGCATCTAGCTGCTGTACGATCCAATGTCATGGGTACTGATGAGTCTCGCACCAAAATTCGGTCGCTGATCTGGGGTATGTCCGTGATGAAGAATCCTCCATCATTATGGATTACAATCAATCCAACCGACACGCATGACCCAATAGCGCAAGTTTTCACTGGTGCGGAAATCGACCTCGATCATTTCCAGCATCTTGCAGGTCCCGACTCTCACACGCGGTCTATTAGAATTGCAGACGATCCATATGCTGCCGCCAAATTTTTTCACTTCATCATATCTGCAATTCTAAATGAGCTGTTCGGCATACAAGCAAATCATAACAAGTCTGGAATTGTTCGACAACCTGGCATTTTTGGTACTATTGAAGCCTACATAGGTACCGTTGAAGCTCAGGGTCGTGGTACTCTGCACTTGCACATCGTACTTTGGATATCAAATGCGCCGACAGCAGTAGAGATGAAAAATCTACTCAAAACAGAGACTTTTCGGCGCACAGTCGCCTCATTCATTGCTCAGAACATACACGGCTATCATCCAGATATTACAGCAGATACTTTGAAGACACTTCCACGAGAAACAGCTGTTTCCTATTCACGTCCCCCAGATCCAAGGTCTTCGAGTTTTTTATCAGACAAACAACAAGCCATAAGGAGCCTTGTTCGAGCAGTTCAAATCCATACTTGTTCCAGCAGCTGTCTCAAAGTTATACGAGGCCGTGTTATCTGCAAGCGTCGCGCACCTTTTCCTGTTGCAAATACGGCCTGGATAGACTCTGAAGGGAATTGGGGACCAAAGAGGACATTTGCTATGATGAACAACTGGAACCCGACAATATTACTTGCTACTCGAGCAAATCATGACGTGAAGTTGATCACAAACGGTGAAGAAACCAAAGACATCGATTTCTACATCTCAATGTACACTACAAAGAATCAGCAACACTCATCTAACGCATCCGCACTGCTCGCAAAATCTTTTGCATTCCAGCAAGCTCGAGATAAACGCCACTCAAAGGTCCAAGAGTTGAACAAACACTTGATTCAGCGATGTGCCAATTCGCTCAGCCGTGAACAGGAGTTTAGCGCACCAGAAGTTGCTAGCTATCTCATGAAATGGGAAGATCGCTATATCTCGCATCATTTTGAAACTATCCATTTTTTCTCCGTCATCAACTTGCTGAAAAAAACTTGGCCTCAGCTTGTTTCTCAAAGGTGCGGACATCATAGGCATTTTCAAAATTGCTCGCTAATTATAAACAACGCTCAGTCATGCTGCTGAGTTGTCTAGCGATGGGGAGCTACATGTCTTGCAAGACTCCGCAGAGGCTTACGATGTGCGTATTTCTGTCTTGCGTGTCTGAAAACTTTTTGATGTATCTTTATAGACAGAGTATGCCACTCTCCATTTCGAACAAGAAACACAATCCCTACAACTCCGGGACGAAATTAGAGAATACATGGATAGAGGAGACGCTCTGGAACATTTCAGTTACATTGACTTTTTCCTCAACACGTATGAGGGTCCTCTAGCTGATAGTGATCAGAATACGTCTCTACGCTGGAGAGGTCACGTTCGAGTTCCTTACAGAGCGTCTTCTGGACGACATAAATTTTGTTGAGTGTTGCGCCACGAGAAACACGAAACAATGCCTTACTTTCCAGGACCATGGCTTCCACGCAGAAACGAAGAGCAGACATATCCATTATATTGTGCATCGATGCTAGCATTATTTCAACCGTGGAGATCACTGGCCGATCTTAAACCAGCTCACCTCACTTTCGAAGACATGTTCAATACATTTTCAGCTACAGCATCTGCAAACGTACTGAAAATCATGGATAACATCCAATACTTTTATGAGTGCTCCGACAAAGCACGAGAAAATCAAATCAATAAATCGTTCAGTGCGGCATGGAGAATAGCTGCCTCAGAAGCCGATCGGAATGATGCTGAGAATGACTTAGAAGAGATAGATGAGCTGGCTGGCGATGAAGACGAAGACGATGAAGAGTCAGCACAAACCGTCACAGAGTCTGACATCGAAAATGCCCTGCAAGATTGTCACTGTACACGTGACTTGCTATATGCTGATGTAGCAGTTAATATCGCAGAAGACTTCGCAATTTTCAGTGAGGCCACTATCCAAACTGCAATTTG